TTCACATGGGGTATAAATACATGGAACCTAGGTGATCAATGTATGTTTTTCCCTCCACACGAAGTATGGCATAATGAATAGTTTTGGTTGTGGAAGGTGGTGGCAGACTGGGGGGACTGTAAACCCCTCCCATCAGAGTGTCAGTGGGATTTTGTCCAGCATCCTTAAGTGGAGTAACAGGCCTTACGCAGGCTTGCACTGGGCTGCAGTGGCAGGGTTTTGTGAGGGAAGCCAGCCTGTCCCTGCCTTCATCTAACTCTTGTTATTTTTTCTGCACTAAGAATTGCTGAAAATTACACTTTGAAATACAAAAAAGCTGTCCCAAGCAATTACTAGCCAGAGAGGGAGGTAGTGGAGGAGGGAGGGCAGGGAGTGACAAACCTGTCTCCTGCAACCTTTCTGTGCGGTTGGGTAAATAAGCTATGGAGCAGCACTGTGCCCAGCTTCTCACCCTCTTTCCTAAGCAGGTGCGTTTGCAAAGATATTAACCCTGCATACAGAGTGTGCCATTCAGTAATTATGGAAATTAGTTGGCAATTAGATAATGTCACTCAGTCTCTGCATACGGCTGATAAGCAGTTGAGAGCCACTCCAAAGCGAGGGTGAGACCCTCTCCATGGGCTGCGGAGCAGATGGCTCTGACCTGGCATTAATAGGCTGCTCTCAAGTTTGGGAAGATGTGTGGTGGTTGGGTAGCACTTGCCCACAGCACTGTGGTGGGGCTGCCTCCCTTCCCCAGCTTGGGAAGTTGCGCAGCTCTATCAGCCCTGTGAGTAGTGAGATGTTTCAATAGTGCAAGTGGGTGTGTTTCCTATGGCAGGTTTTGTGTGTGCGAGATACTGAGCCGTCTGTTCAGTGTGCAGGTTCGTCACTGTCTCAGCTCTCTGGCAGGCCAGGGAGGCAGTACAGGCTGCTGGAGGTGCCGTGGAGATAACTTGCTGGGCCTCTCATTCCTTAAGGGTAGCAAGTATTTAAAATGCTCTGCAAAGACCTCGCCTAGTGGTTTGCCAAAGGGCTGATCACATCAGACTGTCTGTCTTGTTTTGTGCTGCTAAATCCCATTAAGCCAAAAATATGACATGGAAAATATTTGTATGCTTTTCCATGTGAGCAATAGGTGGAATTGGAACAGGGGTGTTGCTAATTCGTGACTGGGAGAGGTGGTGTCCATCATGAACTCTTTTTTTGTCTGATGTGATTGTGCTGTGACAAAGTTTGAGATTTCTCAGAGATAAAATATATCAGAAAATACTATGAGATTCTATAGTTATTGTCCCAAACTGTAATATATTGCTATGGTAGCAGCGTGCTGTATGAAGCTGCTAGGGTAGTACTTATGCTAAAAATAAAATGGTAAGAGCAGAAAATTATTCGTTCTCAGTGTGTCTTGGAGGATCATTGTGGGAAATGGGTGAGGCACAGATTTGTTGTGTCAGGATTTACTTTCTCAAGGTTGGGATTCAGATCCTGGCCACTGCTAAAAAGGACACTGGGTCTTCTGAGTTTTTCTTGAATACCCTCTTGTGTGGTGAGGTTTGCTCTCACAGGTTGAACTTCATGAGACACAAAACTGGAATAGTGGAACGTGCCATGGGTCAGGACTGACAGGTGCTGACAGAGCTCTGGAGGAGCCTGAGATAGCCCCAGCCTGCTAGTGGCTGAGTGCAGGCAGCCTTCCCAAAACCTGAGCTGCAGTATCTAAATGGCAATGAAGCACCTAGAAGTGACACCTGTATTTCATGTTTTTTTTGTCTTCTTCCTGTTCTGAAACAGAACTGGCACTGTCTTCTTTCATAACAGCTCGAAGAGGATTACCTTAGCTTCCCTCAATCAAAAGAGATAGAGAGAGATTGCCTTGGCTTCCTTCAGTCAACAATGCTATTCCTGTTTAACCATTTCTGCCTGGTTTCCCTTGTTAACTGTGGCCTTTGTCCTTTCCTAATGAACATGTATCGATTTTATAGTAATCTGTGCCACAGAGGTAGCCTGCTCCCTTTACTGTGCCTTTGAAATATCCCAAAGATTGAAGTGACCCATGGAGACTGAGATTCCTTTGTGTGTGTAAAACAGTGTTTCAGCAGCCCGGGGTTGGGAGAGATTGGTAGGCTTTTTGGACAGTTGTTTGGGCTGTACATGGATGTATGCATCTCATCCGTTATTATCTATAGAGAGTGTTCACACCTGCTGCTGTGATTTACAGCATCTTTCACTGGTTCTCAAAGAGTTAGTCTTCTAAAATAGGGAGAGAAGAGTAGTAGGGCTGAGGGCTACATCTGATGCAGATGGTGCAACCTACCATGCCCAGGAGAATCGAAAGCTTTGGTGAAAGCCCCTCTGCACTGGGGTCTCTGTGGGTGCTCGGTGCCATGCTGGGCTTGCCTCCCTCCCCAGCTCAGGTTGAGCACAGAACTGTCTGATGGAGCAGTGAATTTTTCTACGGTGGTGGTAAATGTTCCAGGGAACTGTGAGCTGTTCAGAACACATCACTGGCTAATTTACACACATTATTATATTCCTATTCCCATCTCATCAATAATTCCAGGCTTGGGTCATCACTTTCTCTCTTACCTCCCTCTCACTCTATTCTCCTTCTCCATAAATCATGGGCTATTTTAGTGGAGCCACTAGGGATCACAGAGGAGAAAGGTAAATGGACAAGAGCCGTATAATTTTTTTTTTCCAGTTGATTTTCAAAGCCCCCCAAAACCCCATGAACTGAGCCAACATTGTGATTATTGGGAAGACAGATGATTTGAGCATTTGGATCTGCGTTTTTTTTCACCTTACACCTCTCCCAACACCTCCTTTTTCCTCCCTCCATTCTCATGAGCCAAGCTGTTAACAATTAAAAGGAATTATCTGCCCTCTGGTTTTGACTTGATTTTATCTGTGTTTATAGCAGTTTAGCTAAGACACACTCCACTCTGGCAGCTGCAGGGAGCAAACCTAGTTTCCACTGGGCACTGAAAGCTCATGTTTCTCTCCAACTTGTGGGTTTTCTTTTAATTGATCCCTTCTGTTTTCTGTGACTTGTTTTTCATGCTAGCTAAATTTGTCAGACTGACAGCCCTGGAGACTTATAGCCAGGGACCCATAGGTCCCTGGGGCAGGTAGGGCAGAGGCTGTGACTATGTGAGCTCTCCCCTTTGTTGCCTAGTGATTCTCCTCCAGCTCAACCTCTGCCCTTTCCAAACAGAAAGTTTTCTGCACTGCCTGTTTCTGCAGTGTCTGTGAGCCTCCTCCTTTGGAGCAAGGTGGCCTGTGGCATTGAAAGGCATCTGCTGAGAGCAACAGCAGCCCCAGTCACTCTTATTGTCCACAGCACAAAACGCTTTTCCCAACCAGATACTGTCTCACAATATTTGTGATCCAATTTGTGAAATCTGTGTTCATGCTGGGTTCTGGGAGGTTGAAGGCCATGACTCTCATCACCTCCTTTCCTGCTTTGTATCTGTGCTAATGTTAGCCATTCCCAGAGCTGTTCTCGTGCCCAGCGCATCTCTGTGAACAAGCACCTATGTTAATGGAAAACTTACTTTCTTTTTAAGCAGGATTTTCAAAGAATGAGCCTAGCTTTATGCTGTCTTTACTTGTCATCTTAAAACATCCTCCTACCCTAGGCATACAGTCACCCACATGCAAATAGGCAGAAGTGAATTAAATCCCGGTGTTAAGAGTTGTAACTTCTGCTCACTGAAGGCAGTTGGAATTGCTTGCTGTTAGCTAGGGGTGAATTTGGCCTTTTTGCCAAACCACTAGACCAGGGTAAGTGGTTAAGTGCTTAGGCAGTTCTTATCATCTAAGCTACAAGTTTCCTATCATCTAAGCTGCAGGTTGCCATATATAATTTGCATAGCACATGTTTCCAGGTTGCAAAGGTCCCTGTTAGAGTCTCTGAAGTGTGCAAGACATGTAAAGTAAAAGCAGCTATTGCATGACAGGCTGACAGCAGGGTTGTCTTCTCTAATGCTTGCTTGGTGTGCTAGAAAGCATAATGAAAACAGCGGAATGGGAAGTTCGGATAACATCATCTTTTGCCCTGTATCAACTTTTAAACTCTAAGGAACTCTGGTCTTTGCCCTAAGCATTTTCATTGAGAGGTAACTGTTACTGGGGAAGCTTCAGCACCATTTCTCTTAGTAAAGTCAATGAGATTGCACCCATCAAAGGTGTTAAATAATCTGGTGTATTTTTATGTTGCTCAGCATTGTGGTGTGTGCAGATCACTTCATGAGTTCTCTATTTGGTCCACTTAGTTTTGAGGACATAGATGTCCTTGGTGCTTTGGAGGACTGTATAGCCAAATGCAGGCATGAAGAAGTGGCCAGAGTATCAAGAAATGTATATGAGTTACTGAACAAGATGTTAATAAGCTTCATGGTAAAGATATGGTGAGTAGCGGGACTAACTTCTTCCTTTCTTTTCTTCTCTTGACCGCACAGGTCCTGCAAGCTCCGTAAGTGCCAAGCAGTGAATTATGGGCTGGGTAGCCACCAGTGCATCATGAAGATTGACTTTATTTTTGCCCTCTTGAGGATCACGTGCTTTATGAATTCACTTTCTCCTCCATCACACTGCCACATCTGTCAATATTGTCATCACTTCCAGGAAACCAGAATTTGAGGCTTGGGCTTCAGCTCTGCCTTTCCTTCCTCCCTGGAACAACCAGTGTTCTACGAAAACAAATCACTGTGGCTTATTTTGCCCTTCACAGAAGTACACCAACTGGAGAAGTCACTTCATATACCCTGTACATCTGAGATGATAAAAGCCTCTGGATCGTAAGGGATAATTGGGATCTTTCCTTGGGGAGGAGACATTTCCTCTTGTTCACGTCCACTTGCTATCTCACCTTCCACTTACTCTCCCTCTCTCTCTCTCACTCTCTGTGCTCTCCTCCTCTTCCCATTGGATTTAACATTTGGTGTTGACTGCTGGCGTTCTCCTCCCAGTAGTGTGGCTTTTGTTTTTCTCCTAGGGAACAGCAGATTCTTGAAACAATGGGCTTCACTCTCCACTCCGTCTACTTCACCTTGAAGGTGAGTTTGCTGCTGGGCTCCTTGCTGGGTCTCTGTTTGGGTCTGGAGTTCATGGGCATCCCCAACCAGTGGGCCCGCTACCTCCGCTGGGATGCCAGCACTAGGAGCGAACTCAGCTTCCAGTTCAAGACCAACGTCTCTGCTGGGCTGCTCCTCTACTTTGATGATGGTGGTGTCTGTGACTTCCTCTGTCTGTCCCTTGTTGACGGGCGCATCCAGCTCCAGTTTAGTGTGGACTGTGCGGAGACTACAGTTATCACAGACAAACAGGTCAACGACAGCAACTGGCACTTCCTGATGGTCAGCCGCAATCACCTTCGGACAGTGCTAGTGCTGGATGGTGAAGCCAAGCCGGGCGAAGTGCGTCCACAACGCCAGTATATGAATATCGTCAGTGACCTTTTTGTTGGTGGAGTCCCACTGGACATCCGTCCTGCTGCCTTGACCCTTGATGGTGTTCTGGGTGAGCCTCCATTTCAAGGATTTATCCTGGATCTGAAATACGGCAACTCTGAGCCACAGCTCCTGGGCAGTCAAGGGGTCCGACTGGAAATGGAAGGGCTTTGTGCAGAAAACCCCTGTGAAAATGGTGGCACTTGCTTCCTTCTGGATGGCGAGCCACACTGTGACTGCTCAGCCACTGGATATGCTGGCAAGCTGTGTTCTGAAGGTAATAGAATACTTCCCTGCTTCCCATTGATCTTTACATAATCCAAAGAGTTAATTTGTCGCTTAGCAGGGCTACGACTGAGCTCTTATCCCTGCTGGTGGCTATCAGAGGAAATAAAGTTCCACTGTTCTTTTTCCAGCTGGAAGTAATGAAATGGGAGTAAATAGAGAGCATGAGCAATTGCAAAAAGTGCCTTTCTGAAAGGATGCTGCATTTGTAGCATGGGCAGATTTTCATCAGCAACTTATTAATAAGGGTAGAGAACATAAATTGGTAAATACAGAAGTACCCTATGTTGGTGTTGGTAAAAGCAGTGGTAAGAAGTTATCTTAGCTGTCTGGGTGAATTCCACTACCCTGTGTCCCTGAAAACTGAGTGAAGTATTGGTAAACAGGAGCCATGTATGTATGGCTAACATAACTGATTGACAGAACATTGCAAAAGTTAGGCCATCTTTGATGTTAGCTGTTGCTAGTGTGTGGACGCCCCATGCTCCCCCTCAATTGCTTGCATACTAATCGCTGAATGGCACCTTGATTGTTTTAGCATCCTTGATTAAATTGCTTTGGGAACTGCTGAACAATCTTACTTAGTATTGCAAAAGGAAGAGGGATTTGAGTGTTTCTACATTGTTTCATACTGTCTTCTAAAATTTGAGTCCAGAAGGTTGAAGTCATGCAAACCACATGATGAAGTGTATTTCAGGGTTTTTTTCCTTGGTCTTTAGCAGTGTGATGGTAATTAACTCTGTATGTGCAAGAGACTTAAGTAAGTCGACTGGAAGTGCCATTGTGAATTTGAGAATCTCATCACAGCATTTTTTATGACATCTGAGTTTAAACACAACAGTTTGAGCTTAAGCCAAAGATGAAACAAGGGCAAGAAGTGTCCAATCTCAAGGAAAAAAAAAACCCTGAAATTTTGTCAAAATGGAAATACTTGCAATAGCATCTCATCACATCTAGCATTTGTTTACTTCTTTTGGCAATGAAAATAGATTAACCAGAATTTAGTATGTAGAATGTGAGAAGTGCTGAAGAGAAAGTCCCTGTACTGTTGATATGTAAGCAAAAAGCCCTACAGAAATACTCTGTAAATACAGCTCTATGTTTACAGTATAGATGGATAAGCAAACATGTTTTTACAGAAAGGGAAGGTTTGGAAAATAAACATGATATCCATATGTGCATTCATTTTAAGGTGCTTTTAATGATAACAGAAAATTTGGCTTTATATGCAAATATTACATTAACAGTACATGACCATTAGATAGGAGGTATGAGCCTGTGAAGTGCTGAACACCAGGATTCTTCCTGGCTATTTGCTCTGCACCGATCAGGTCCAAATGAATAACGAGCCAGAACTATTTTCTGTGCTTGAACCATGAATTATGTGGAGCTGGAGAGACTGCTGGGTCTGACCAGGCACTTCAATAGCTGGGTTGCTGGGCCTGATCCTCATACACTTACAGAATAAACACACCTCATGTCTAAATGCCAGTTTTGGGTGATGGAAGATTGCAAGAGCCACACAGGTATGTGGACCCTGAAACATAAAGATATAAGCCTCTTCTACTGCTGGGCTAATGGATCCAGACTCCATGGCGAGCTGCTCAAGATATCAACAGCATATGGTTTTCGGGGAATGTCTTGAGAAAATACCATATGTGAGCGAGGCTTTCATGTACCTCTGGGGCAATTGTGAAAGCTCTAACCACGGCTCAGCGGAATTTCTGCATTTCCTGGGTGGGTGGGGCAATATGAAATCCATCATCTAACAAATCCAGGGATATTTCTGTTGTAGACATCATGGATCAAGCAGTGCTATTGTTACCTTTTGAAGCCGCACGTCACCATTGCTGTTTGTTTCCTATAGTGATTCATCAGTTTCCAGCCCAACCTTCTATTAAGGGTGAGCAAAGAAGTTTGTCACCATGTACCTTTTTTAGTAAACATTTTTAACTCACTGTTAGCTGTGCTCTGTTCACTCACACAGAAGATGCTGTGCAGAGAACTTTTCCAGTGGAACAAATGTAGAGGTTTCCACAAACAGTCATTAACTTGTCTGGTCCTTCCGTTTTCTCTTGTATTACTTCATGATGTATATTTGGTTTATGATAGAATTTTATGATCAGCCTTGTTTTCTGCCTCCTTTATGCCGCAGCAGTGGTGATTTCTGTGTGCTAAATGCTGTCACCCAAAAATGTTACAGTGTTTGTGCAGATTGTGAAAAGAAGGGGAAAAACAGAGGAAAAGCTGTTCAGTAAGTGGAAAGAAGCAGACAAAGAAAAGTGGCAAGGAAACAAAACAGGAACCAAGTTAAGTATAGCTACTTTTTAATCTGACTTTGAAAAATGTAGCAAACTCCAAAGATGCTCTCTTTCAATTCCGTGAGTGTGGCAGAACCTCTACTGATGAGCAGTAGGATGTGGTAGGAACGGCAGAACTGGATGCAAGCTCTTTCTCCCTGTGCCTTGATTGGCCATTAACCAACTTGTATTTTCTTTGTTTGCTTTTTTTCCAAGAGATGATGTTTGTTGTCCGAACTGTTCCCTTTTGTTTTGTTTCCTTATCCTGCCTCTGAATATTTGCAGAAGTAACATGGTTATTTTATTCCCAGTCTCATTTTTGAAAAAGGCATGCTCTTTCAACTGGATATCAGCAGCTCCCTTTTGGGGGGATCCTTAACTCCATTACAGTATTTACTAGTCTGTAGTCTGTGTGCGTATTTTCATTTCGTCACCGGAGTTGGCTCTTTTACTGGGAACTGATGGGATCCAATCAATAACAGCTTCTGTTTGAACAGCTAAATGCAATATGTACCTTTTTAATAATGAGTTCTCTTGACAGTGTCCAGGCCATTACTTGCCTATTGACTGATACCTATGTCTGCAGATGGTAAAACCACAGCAAACTCATTTATTCTGTGGCCAGAGAAATAAGAAATAAATAGAGAGTGGAACCTGCTGAATCTGTACTGTGAGGGAATGAAGCTACATTTACAGTATTAGGGGTTACTGTAACGCAAAGTGCAGTTCCAGTTATGGTGAACCTCAGCAGAGAACTACCATTCCATACTGAGACAAAACTGTAAATCCTGTCCAGAATGTGACCCCAATGTGCAGAAAGATTTTTGGCACTTAACGTGCACCCAGAGTTACCAGGATTGTGTGTGCCATAGTAGCTACGTGCCCAGATGGGTAGCTCAGCAGGTCATTGCTGGTGAATGAGAAGTACGATTTCTATGTCTGAGTGTGTACAGTGGAAGTGCAAATGCGTGCACACTTTGGAAGGTTTGGCTGTTTTCAATCAAATGTGATACTATTTTTATTGCAGTTGGAGTATACTGGTTCATTTAACCTGACAGCTCTATAGGGTACAAAGGGTGGCTGATCTGCGTAGCAATTAATTTATATGTTTCTGGGCAATGGTGGCATTAGACATGAAAGCTGAAGCAGAGACACCTTTCCCTCTAATAAACCTCATCAGTCTCTGTGGGATCAAGCTGCTGTGAAGAGAATGAGGCTCCTGTAGAGTTTGAGCAGCACAGATACATTCACGTAGCTGGAAAAAAAACCCCCAAGAAGACCTTTCCCATGCACATTTTGAAAAATGTGCTGCTGTAGCAGCCAGATGATCATGCTGTCTTTCTTAGTCTGCAAGAAATTCTCTGTTCCTCCAACATTGCCATGTAGAGAGCGAGTTCACTAATGTGGACAATGTGAGTGCAACATTGTATGTACAAAAGCATTTTGGCCCAAGACCTCACCTCTCTCCCTAGCCCCCTTCTGGACTTTGTGAGGAAAGATGAACAGAAGATGTGCTTAGAAATGACATTAACTCTGCTTCTAGTTGCAGAACCAAGAAGCTGATGTGATCACTAGCTTCACAAAGCACCATGCTGAAGCCTTTGTGTTGCCTGCAGGGGCTGTTTCTAAACGAACCCTGAATAGGGGCTTGATTGCACCTCTTCCCTTGATTACAGAGCAAGATTTCCTGGGGATGCTGCCTGCTGAATGACAGAGGAGCCCGTTGCTCTGTAATTATCACACTTCTAACTGCAGCAGGAACAGACTTTTCTATAGACCCTCAGCTTCATTTAAAGCAACAACTTACTTCAGGATTTATCCTCCACCTGCCCCTTTGGAGCAGCCCAGCTTTGGCTGCATCCAAAGGGACTGCCTAGCCTCACTTGCAATCACTGTATCTGCCTGCAAGCCACCCCAAACGTTGTAGTACTAAGGGCTAATTTGGCACTTTGCCGTGAGCCTGATGGGTGCACTTAATTTGCATATACATTTACATACATTTTGTAATCAGAAACAAATGAACATGACCATAATATTTGCTTCCACTTGCATATTCCCTGATAGATGAATATAAATTGGTTGTTGTTGAATTCACCAGCAATAAACAGCTGCAGACCCTCCATTTGGTCTTGTGCTCTGCTGTTCTAGAGGGCAGTAGGCAGTTCTGGGACACACTTTGGGGGGCCCAGATCTTCACTCACAAGTGCAAAACTCTAGAATTGATGGTCTCCAAGGGCTATAGAGTAAATATTGCAAGGGGAAAATCTTCTGGTTTATGCCACTTCTTATGCCTGAGCTCTGGCCATTGCGCAGAAAGCTGGTAAGAACTCTGCTCATGACTTAGTTTTGCACGTTTGTTTTTCCCTGTATCTTTCTCTTGCTCATTCTTCCTAGTTTAAGTTCCTTTGGTTGTATTTAAAATAGTAGTCTTTTTCCAGTCTGGTTGTAATTTTTTGATGCATTGCCAGATGAGCACCAGAGAAAGATGATGTGTTAAGATATTAATTAATGTTTATAAAGTGCTTTGAAACTCTAATGTGCAGTTTAAGCACCATTTGTTGTTCTTAATAGTAAATATTAAAACTGAGCAGGAGCCGCAGAATTTCCATTTAGATCCTACATACCCCTTCACAGAAATGGCCTAGGACCCATTTCCCCTCACTAAGCGTGCAGCTCCAGACCTAGCTGGATT